ATATATATATATATATATATATATATATATATATATATATATATATACTCTCATTAAGAGGCAGATTGCACACGCACGTTTCTTAATGTTTGCGCATTAATCGTTGAAGGGGTTGGAAAACAACTCTCCGCAGCTTCTTCAGCTCGCTATCATCATTCATACACGCGTAAACCAATGAATCCCGGAAGTATCTTATATATGCATAATGTAAACCGTAAGTACATTATCTCGACGCTTCGTTGTCGTTCTCCTTAGATGTTTCGCGGGGCAAAGTTTCCCTGTAGTTTGCAGACGAACGTATTTCCCGTGTATTGTGAAATCGTAACAGAATCGTGTTACATTGCCACTGATACCATTCGGTTTATCGATCACGCGATTCGAGCGCCGGCTCAATTGTTAACAATGATCCTAATTATTTCTTGGGTTTTCCCGAATGCGATGAAATTGTTCTTTCTCTTTATTAGTAGACCATGGATATTTATGCGAATCCGTACTTTTATAAATGTATTTATTTAATACTTAAGTGACCGGTCGTTTAGCGATAGCTGAGAAAATACAATGATGGTTATTTATAAGTTAAATAGAAATAATGAGAATGAATAGGAAAAAAATGAATATATAAATAAAAAAGTAAAGAAATAATCTAAATGAAGATTCGTTTCATTCGTTAAATATTGTATTATATCATAATTATATATTATATTAACGTATATATTATATTAGTATAAATAATTATATTGCAAAATTACACATTACAATGTAATTTGTAATTATATTATAATTTTATTGTATTTTATTCTGGGTATTTATATTTCATGATAATTTTATATTCCAACTATTAGATCTCTAACTCTTTGTATTCTATTGACCTGAAAATTATTTCTTGTATCGTATTCGTTGAAAAAAAAGAGACAGAAAAACAGGGAACTTTTGCTGCAAAAATAAATTTACAAACATTTATAACTTTGTCCTCTTCGAAACAAAAAACCCTCAGTTCCATTGTAAAAATATACTGAAGTTGATAATTAATCGCGTTAGAAAACATTTCCAGAGTATAGAGTTAAAACTCCCCTAACTGTATCAGCATCCGCAGTCTATTTATAAGCTATATTTATTATATCAATATTATCACCGCAAGTAAATATAACCACGAATGTAATAAACGGGAAAATGAAAACCTCTTAGAGGAATTTTATCGAAATCTTTTCTTCGCTGACAGTTCTATTGACAATTACCGAACGATTTTACCCGTAACTCGTTTTGTCAAAGTCATCAATAATTTATTAATTCATAATAAATCAATTAAATTAAATCAAAACCCTGAAATAATTTTATCGAAACCTCAAGCTGCAAAATCACAGGAATCTGCAATTCAATTAATATTCGAGAATTTTGCGTACTATATATGAAAAGATATTACATATTGTATGATTCATTGTTATCTACTGGGCTGTATAATAATGAATCTTTATGCAAAAATTCCGTATCACATCCACAGTCTATTTATAAATATATTTATATATAGTATCGATGTTATTATCAAGTAAGTTAAGTTACTAAACGTACCGGCATATCTTACCATAAGGGGCCATTTGACCCCTTATGAATAAACGTTGATTTTTAGAAAGAAATTTATTAAAGGAAATAATTTGCAACATAATTTCTAACTTCTAATAAAATACTGAAACATATATTTTTATTTAAAGTAAATTTTGAAAAGGGGTCATTCGACCCTTCATAAGTAAACGTTGATTTTTAGAAAGAAATTCTTAATTTATTAAAGGAAATAATTTCTGCAACATAACTTTTTTAGAAAGAAATTCTTAATTTATCAAAGGAAATAATTTGCAACATAACTTCTGATTTCCAATAAAATACTCAAACATATATTTTTGTTTAAAGTAAATTTGGAAAGGGGTCATTCGACCCTTCATGAATAAACGTTGATTTTTAGAAAGAAATT